AGAGAGAGAGAGAGAGAGAGAGAGAGAGAGAGAGAGAGAGAGAGAGAGAGAGAGACACTTGAATTCCGTACACAACCCCACAACAGAAGAAAAGAAAAAGGCTGACAGGCAGACACACGGTCACACACAACCAGAACAGTGTGACACAGGTCTTGGTTGTGTGTGACCGTGTGTGTGGCTGTGTTTGCCAAGACTGTGTTGCGCCGCAACAAGATCGTGTGCACGATCTTGTTGCGGCGCAGCACAGTCGTGTAAAACACAGCCACACACACGGTCACACACAGCCAAGACCTATGTCACGCTGTTCTGGTTGTGTGTGACTGTGTGTCTGCCTTTAAGTCTGGCTGGCAGGCTGTACAGCTGTCTGTCAGTCTGTCAGTCTCTCAGTCAGTCGAGCTGTGCTGCGGTCAATTTGTCTGTCTGTCTCTTTGTTTGTCTGTTTGTCTGTCACACTCTATGGTCTGTGTGTGTCTGTCTATCTGCGTGCAAGGGCCTGTTACGTGTACCTGTTTGTCTGTCAGTCTGCCACCCTGTCCATGTGCAACGTCACTCCGTCAACATGTCTATATGTGTGTTAAACTGCGTTTGTCGGTCTGTCCATCTGTGTGTAGGCAGCTGTTTGTCGGTCTGCTTGTCAGTTTTTTAGGCAGCTGTCTGTCGATCTGTCCGTCTGCCTGTTTCTCTTTCTGACCGTTGTCAGGACTGGTGAGTCCCGAATGATTTCCCGTTACTCGAAAGTCTGTATATGACCAATTTGTGCACGACAGAGAAAACCGGAGGCAGGAATGCTGGAAAGATCGGAAGCATGGGCACAGACAATAGGAAGGTAGAGGCTGCCCAGGGTCGTCAAGACCGCCAAACTAGAAAGGGACTGTCTAAGCAGGAAGCGGCAAAGGACTGTGAGAAAATAGCAGGGGCGACCCTTTCCCCAAGGACGGAGAAGGGCCGCCGGGAAGTCGGTAGTAGCGTAGGAGGTGCGCAGCAAGGGAAGGAAGGAAGCGGGAAGGGACAGGGCGCAAGGCGATGACGTGACACACCGGCAAGAGGGCCAAGGAGACCGCAGGTTAGGTGGGAGCCGGCACCCAGAACGGAATAGCATGAGGGACGCAATAGGAGCAAAGAGCGTAGTTCGCCGTGAGACAGAGGGACGTCAGAAACACCAAGAGAAGACGTGGTATCAGTGGGACGAAGCACCGGGGACCACACAAAACCGAGAAAAGACGTGGCATCGGTAGAGCAAAGCGTCGGGGCCCACGTGAAATTAAGAGAAGATGTGGTGCCGACGAAACAAAGTGCCCGAGACCACGTGAGACCAAGAGAAGACATGGTACCAACAGGACAAAGTGTCAGGGACCACGTGGSACCAGGCAAAAATGCGGAATTACCGGCGGGACTAGTATCGGGAACCGTCGACGGAACAACGAACGACTGGGCGACGAGGACGCATGATGACCCAAGGAGAAAYARGTYGTCACCTGGRACGACGCCAGAAAAGGGGGAACGRACTAGGAATAATAAGAGGATAGGGAGAAGGCGRGCGTCGACGGAAATTGWCGACGGAACGAAAARAGGCAGACGCGACGCGGGAAAGAYGRAGGACGCGSCACRCGCCGGCAGGGGGTGCCAAGGGGGGGAAAGAGAGAAGGAAGTAGCGRCAGTGAAGGGGGGGCCCAGCCAGCAGTCCGAGTATCCCGGAATCAGCCAGGCCAAGAAAAASGAAGTTCCAAGGGCTCCACGTGGAGAAAAGGCTGGCCGGAGGAAATCGRAGCAARGGGGTGTCAAACTGGAAGGGGCGGCAGCAAAAAGGAGCCTCCTTGGACCTTGGGGGTGCCACTACTGCAGTCCGMGGTGCAAYGGCCATATGYCRGCTGYAAAATCGGACCTTRRRAAASGTCCAACAGCTARAAAGAGGAGAAATAGYTGTTGGACACTTGTCCCAACAGTAATAAAAGAAAAGGGAGAGAAAAAGGGGRAGAGTGAGACAAAGSAGGAGGAATGGGTGGAGGAAAAAGTGCCGCCAGGTTGGGACTACAGCGGTAGGGACTGGCAGGTCTCAATGATGACCTCATCCCTCCTAGACCCTAGGAGGGAGTCCGGATTGCAGAGATAAGGTCCTTAGGGCATTATCTCTGCAATATCTGAATTTAAGTAGCAAAAATAAAGAAAAATGCTGATGTGAGTTGGCCGGCTCATTTTTGGGCCCTAGATCTGAAATCTGATCTTGCGGAGGAGGAGATCTAGCCGTTTTTTGTGGGCTGACACAAAACGGCAAGCTCCGGAAAGAGTTGGCAGCAAAATGGAGGGAAAACAAAGAGAGGAACAAGACGAAACTGCGTATTTGGCCCAAGGATTGAGCCAAATACACCAAAAAAATTAAAAATTGAAGTAAAGGGCTCAAATTTGGGCCAAGGGGAGCTTGAGGGTAGCTCGGAAAGATAAGAATCGTGGATCTCAGCCAAATCCAAGGCTGAGATTGGAGCCGCCACTTGGAAAAATGCAACGGCTTACCCAAAAGAGGCCTAGACCAGGAAAAAGACGAAAAATGGGTCTCTAGGCCCTCAAACTTCAATAAAGGCTGCATTTTGGGAAATGGTACCCCAAAAGGCAGCTCTTTTTGAAGTAAAGAGAGGTCGGGGTAGGCCAAGGGGTAGTCCGAGAGGGTACCAGTCACTCGGACTGCATGCACTTGACCAAAATGAGGCCCAGGTAGCTCCGGATAGGCCAAAACCAGAAATTTGGCCTTGGGGGTACCTCGCTCCACCTAGAGGCACTTGGGAAGGCCTAGGGGTGGGGCGGTGCACCAGTTTCAGCCTACGTAAGCAGGAGGTGCAGGCCGCCACTCCCACTTGAGCATGAGAGGAGTCCATGCTGCCAAAATGAGTCCGTGAGAGAATGCTAGTGGAGTAGAGCAAGGAAGTGAGAGTCGGAGCTAGCGTGGAGCCTGGCTATGGTGATAGGACTAAGGGAGAAGGCCTAGAGGCTAGAGAGAAGCAAGGGAAGTGATCCTCCATAGCCCCCAGGCTGTGAGGTAGAAGGAGAGGCTAAAAGGGGTCCCCATAGCCCTCCTAGAGGGAAGGACTCCATAGCCTTAGAGGTAGGAACCTGCCATAACTTGAGAGAAGGAGTGAGAGGAGGAGGAGAGAGACTTGAGAGGTGGGGGAGACATACCCAAGGGGCTGAGGACCAAGCTTGGGACTCCATTGCCCGGGGACCAACAAGAGGTGAGTGGGAAGGGCGGGAGTTTCCCCTCCTTCTTCCTCCTTTCTCCCTCTTCTTCTTCTTCTTCCTCTTCCTCTCTTCCCCCTCCTCCCTCTTCTCCCTCTTCTCCTTCCTTCTCCTCTCCTTCCCTTCTTCCCCTTCCGCCTCCTACCCCTCCTCCCCTTCTTCATCTCCCCCTTCCTCATCCTCTTCCTCCATCCAAAAATGTAAGTTTTGCTGATTCTGATGCTTGTACATGTTGCGATTCATCCTAGGAAACTTCGGTGATCATTCCCCTAGTGTAGAAGTCATCAAACTTGTCATTTTGCTGATTTGGGTGCTTGGGGGTATAGCGCTTCATCCAAGGATACTTCGGTGATCATTCCCCTAGTGTAGAAGTCATCAAACTTGTCATTTTGCTGATTTGGATGCCTATGTGTGTTGCGCTTCATCCTAGGATACTTCGGTGATCAGTCCCCTAGTGTAGATATCATCAAACTTGTCATTTTGCTGATTTGGGTGCTTGGGGGTGAAGCGCTTCATCTTGGGATACTTCAGTGATCATTCCCCTAGTGTAGATGTCATCAATCTTGTCAAATTGCTGATTTGGGTGCTTGGGTGTGAAGCACTTCATCATGGGATACTTCGGTGATCATTGCCCTAGTGTAGATGTCATCAATCTTGTCATGCTGCGGATTTGGAGGCCTATGTGTGCTGCGTTGGGATACTTCGGTGATCATTCCCCTAGTGTAGATGTGATCAATCTTGTCAAATTGCTGATTTGGGTGCTTGGGTGTGAAGCGCTTCATCTTGGGATACTTCGGTGGGGTGTAGCGCTTCATCTTGTGATACTTCGGTGATCATTCCC